TATAACGAGTTGGATATCCAGGTTAATCAAAAAACAAAAGCAAAACCCTAGACCTTCAACTTCTCCTCATCTTCACATTAGATCTCCGATTTTGGGTGTTCTTATTTATGAGATTCAGATTTAAGGTTTTAGTTCATAAATACTTGATTTAGGGTTTTGATTTAACAAGTTGAACGAATTGGTACAACTTTATTGTTTATCTTAATTTGTTATTTAGATCAATGTTTCTGTTCTTGATTACTATTTTCATTCTTGAATTGTTTGTTCTACATTTTGATCCAACAAAAGTTTAAAGTAAACAAGTTCCAGTAGAGGCTAGACTAAGCATATGGATAACCATTATTAACGACAAAAAGAACAGGTAGCCAAGATTACAGAACGACTATAACAACCTTGGAGATGACGGGGATTGAATGTCTTGGTCGGAGTTTGGTTGCTGGAGAATTCGTTGGAGGGAGTAAAGGAAAACATATAGACACGTGTTAAAAATTTAATGGATATAAAAAAAATTATAATTTTTTTAACAAATAAGTTAGAGAAACATAGAAAAAGACTAAAATACCCCTTGTTTTAACTCATTTAACAAATCTTTTTAACGGTGTCAAGACATATGGACCAAAAACATATGAAAATATAAGCCACAAAGATGTTTTCCATAAAAGATATCAAAATGAATGATTTAACGAATAAAATGTTAATAACCTTGAATTAATGGTTTATGTTTTTTTCATTTTGAAATGTAAAAAATTCTATTAATTTTCAAGTTTTGGTATATACAGGAATTCACTTTTAGAACCACAAGGGTGGTCTTCGATTGTTTTCAGCTTGGCCTCCAAAGAACAAAAGTGTCGGGAAATGTTAGATTCGAATCTAATGAGAAATAAAAACCCCTTGTGGTCACGAAGGTTCAAATACGATGACTCCAAACTACCCGTGAAACTGATGGTCGTCCTAGGATTGGTCGGCTCGCATAACAAGTTGGATATCCAGTTTAATTAAAAAAAATCAGATATAGTAAATACAAAAATTAAAGAAGATTGATTATTCATTTCACACACTCTTTAGGATTATGATTCCTCGTCCTATGCTTTGTCAATCTTTTACCTTGATGGAGATATTCTTAAATATCATCTTCAATCAAAGTTGTCATAATTAAGAACCTATTTTCGATTATTTTTTTTATATCATTTTTAATTTATTAAATTAGAAATCTATCTAAAATTATAGATAGATTTTATATATACATACATATTACATCTCTCTTTCAAAATAAGTTCCACATTCTACTCTTAATTATAAGATAAAGAATTTTTTTTTATTATTATTAAAGGTAAAATTGTCATTTAGTTGATTAAAAAGTGTAGTAATTACATATTTTTTAAATTGTGTACCATTTTCATTGTGAATGTTTATTTTGGGACGAATGAAGTACTAATTATATATAATATAAAAGTCAATAAATATATATATATATATATATATATATATGTATATATATAAACTAATAAATTGTTATTTAACACAAAGATCAAAGTAAGAATCAAGATTCTTGTACAAGAACTCAAAATATGTAAGGTTCTTATAAGAACTCCAAATATGTGACGTTCTTATAACAACTCTTCCACTGGAAGGTTCTTATAAGCAAAACCCTCCGACAGTAGTTTTTATAATAATCTACACTTTTTGCTTATAAAAAACCCCTCGTTTTTGCATAACGACATTAGCTTCTCAAGAAAACCCTGAAAGGGATTTTTGCTTCAGAGTCTTTTAGGATTTTTGCACCCCTAACGACGATTACCTCCCTTCGCATGAAGTGCATATCGACGTTCTCTCTATAATCACTGGTCAAATATGATCCCTTTCAAGTTATCTACCAAACGATTGAACACCTCACTCCAAAATTGCTTTTCCGTTAATACCGATACCAGTTTAAATCTCCGTTTATATATCCTTATCAAAACTAAAGACTTATAGGAATAAGACAAAGCAGAAGGTCTTTTTTTAATTTCATCTCCTCTTTTCAACAGAAACAATTGTCGAATAATAATCAAATCATTACAAAAGTTTCATTAAACTTTTAATATGAATCAAACCAAGCAAATCGATATATACTCATCTGATAATATTCCACGAACACATATTTCAAACGATTTACCGGACATAAAAGTGAATTCTTTAGACACCCGTTACGTTATACGAAGAATCTCTTCGGAGATATTTAATTCGAAATTATCGTAAATTAAAAGTGTTTAATTGTAGTGGTTGATCATTAAGATTAAAAAGATGATATTGAAATGAAATGAAAGGATGGTGGCATGAAAATTTGTCACATAAAAACCATACCAAATGTTTCTTCGAATGCGATGTTTTTGATGCCATTGGCATAAAACGTCTTCAAATCCCTAATCGTCAATTTCACCTTTTTTTTCTACTCGTTTGCCCTTTTTGTTGCCCTAATGCTGGGTCCCCCACCTTGCCACATCATCATTATCATGCGTGTCATCTTCTCATTGGGCTTGATTTTCAGTTTCCCACTCTCCTCTTCTTCCCAAATTACTATTATGCCCTTTTGTTTGTATGTGCATATACAATGAATTGTATAAATCAATCTCAATCGATCGTGTAGTGTGATGAATAACTGGTTTTGTAAATATATCGATTGTTTTCTAATATAATTAATGAGCTTAATCATCTTTCGTTAATATTCAAATCATAGTAAATGAACTTTCATCATTTTTCATAAATGTTGGTTTGCAGGTTTGCATTCTTTGAACTGGATTTGATTTCACCTGTGTATTCTAGTGAGAATGAAAGTTAAGGTGAGAAACGTAAGAAAGGATATTCACCATTGAATTAATCCTCATTGAAAACCAACACTAATGTGGTGCTGAAATACACCGTATCAACTGAATGGGTGTGAGATTAAAAGTGATCAAAGGTCCAGATCTTTTCTTACGATTCTCACCTAACTCTTATTCGCAGACTATCCTTCGTGTGTGTGTGTGTGTATATATATAAAAGAGAATATTATTTTGAGAACCCATGAAGTTATGATAATCTTGAAAACTTGTTCATCATATGCTTTTTTTCATCTAATACTAGAATTTAGAATATTGATCAACAAATATATGTTTCACAATGTGTTCGTTTCACATATACTCGATTCACAACGTGAATATTTTGATGTTTTTGTGAAACAAAAAATACACCTAAAAATGTTTCATATTGTGAGTCGAATACATATGACCGAAACAAACACATTGTAAAATAAATATATGTTAATCAATACATTAAATATTCTATTTAGATCAAAAAAAATCATGTGAAACACATAAATTACGTGTTTTCAAATAATTAATCCCCAAATGTATATATAATTACATATCATGATTTTCACCAAAATCAATTTATGTCATTTGTAATTTTATCTCCAATGGGTGAAGCAAATTCGACTTTATTGTATTATCTTTAATTGAGATAATTTTAGGGATTTAATCACTACTCTCTTGAAGCTTTTCTAATTTTAATTAAAAAAAAATACTTCAATATATAATTAATTAGATGATACAAAAAATACGAAATTCGAACATAACTAAACAATAACGTCATGTAAAAAATTCTCAACCCGTTAAACAACAACGGATCGATCGATCATGAATTGTTTTATTTCTTTGGGATGATCATAATTACAAAATTAGTTTGGATTCGCATGATGTATACATTAATTTGGATAGCAACGTTTCATTCTAATGTTAAATCTATATTTAATTATATCATTTGTAAAAAAAAATAATACCAATTTCGAGAGAATTTTCACAGTTTTTAGAAGGTAATTAATCGTATATGGATAAAGCTGGTTGTATGAACTAATTGGTCTGTATGTATAGATTAGAGAGGTTTTTATTTAAGATGGTTTTTTCATATGTGAAAAAAAAAAAACTTAACCGGAAAATGTATGTTTGGAAAAAACTTGACTTTCTGTATAAAACCTCCTTATAATCTTATTGAATAAGTCATTTTCTATATCATTAACCAATTATCAAACAGTCATGTATGGTTGATTGACTAATATGTTGTAAGTCTTGTTAAGCTAATTAATTAAGATTCTAACAAATAAATCCTATGCTATAGTTTTTGGGGCATTAATTAATTACTTTCGACGTCTCAAAATAAATGTCCACAATACAAAATGCACATAGTTTTAGACATATGTAATTGTTACATTTAGTTAGAGGTTATTTAGCAGTTGTTGAATGCTTTTGTGCAGAATGATTAAATGGTCAAAATGATTAAGAGGTTTTCATGATATAGTGCAAAATGAAATATAATTGTTTGATAATTATTTACAATGAAATTAGGGCTCTTAATAGTTAAGGGAGGTTCATGATACAAAAGCATTCAGAATGTTTTAAAACCATTAAGAGACATATTTTTTTTATCAAACAAAATTCACCTTTTAATGATTCAGAAATTACTTCTTAATGAAACTATTAAGATGTAAACAAACAACCCCTTAACCAAATGACTTTTTGCCCTTAATAATATATGGAGTAATTAATTTCTTCATTTTATAATTAAGCCTAAAATTAAAAAGTAGTAGGTATTTTATTTTTAAAAGCAGACATTTATTTTAAGACAAATTAAAATAAAAATGTATATATTTATTTTAATTGATATTTATTTTAAAATAAATTAAAATTAAATAAAAATATAGAGACTTATTTTAATACTCTATTTTAATACGATTAGAATGATATAAAGAAAATAAGACAAATAAGATGTATAAATATACGAAAATACCCATGTGGGTACTATTTTCCGTATACCAATATAAAGATAAAGCTATGTAATTTGTGAACCTATATTCTTCTTTCTCTCTCTCTCTCTCTCTCTCTCTCTCTCTACCTCTGTCTGCAAGATGCTCTGATTACTTCCAAAATTTGTATTTAGAAGGATTAATCAAGTATAAGGTAGTAGAATCGTGTTTGATTAATCTAAACATGGAGAGTACAGATTCATCATCGGCTTCTAAACAACCTCAGTTACCGCCGGGCTTCCGCTTCCATCCTACCGACGAAGAGTTGGTGGTTCACTACCTCAAGAAGAAAGCTGCTTCAGCTCCTTTGCCCGTCGCCATCATCGCTGAAGTTGATCTCTATAAGTTTGATCCATGGGAACTTCCAGGTATATATATATATATATATATATATATATATATATACACTTCCATGAAAGTCAAATTCAACTTCTGCTTTCTGGGTTTCATCTCTCTCTATATATATATATATGTGTGTGTATATGTATATGTATGTGATATGTGATGAGTTTTGTGGGTTTTTGATTATGTGTGATGTAGCGAAGGCGACGTTTGGTGAGCAAGAGTGGTATTTCTTTAGTCCGAGAGATAGGAAGTACCCAAACGGAGCTCGGCCTAACAGGGCGGCAACTTCCGGTTACTGGAAAGCCACCGGAACTGATAAGCCGGTGTTGACGTCCGGTGGAACTCAGAAGGTCGGAGTGAAGAAAGCACTTGTGTTTTACGGAGGAAAGCCACCAAAAGGGGCGAAAACCAATTGGATCATGCATGAATATCGACTTGCTGATAATAAAAACAATATCTCCAAACCCCCTGGTTGTGATCCCACCAATAAAAAAGCTTCTTTAAGGGTATTATATAATTATATATATATATATACATACATATATATATATGTGTGTGTTTCTTAAAGATTTCTTGATTAGTTAATTAATCACTTGATATGATGTTATAAATTGATGATGAAATTGGGTTCTTTGTTTTAGTTGGATGACTGGGTTTTATGTCGAATCTACAAAAAGAACAATATTCAGAGGCCGGTAGATAGCGACGGCGGTGGCGGCGATCACACCATGACCGGGATGCTGGCATCTATTCCACCGTCTATATCACTCGGTATCACCAGACCCACATCAGGGTTCAATGCAATGCTCGAGAATCATGATCATCACAACGTTGTATTCGATTCGACGATGTTAAACTCAAACGAAAACAACAACAACAACGTTAACATCACCACCTCAAACAATCTTCTTCCGATCAAAAGATCCTTCCCTGGTTTGTTCTGGAACGAAGAAAACCATCATTCAGGTAATAGTAACAATAATTCAGTACCCTACACCAAAAGATTTCTTGCAGAGAGTAACACCACGGATGGCGGCGTTATGGCGGCAAGAACCGCCGATGAAAACAACGGTGGTTCAATCGCCGGTTTTCTCAACCAGTTACCACAAACACCACAAATGCACCACCAGCAAGCAATGTTAGGTTCCATCGGAGATGGCGTTTTCCGGCAACAACCCTACCAGTTATTACCTGGAATGAACTGGTACTCGTAGATCACGTTAACTGAAGATGTGGGTATGATTGGAAAAACGTACACTAAATTATACTTGTTGATCTTATTTACATATATATATATATATATATATACACACCTATATATATAGATTTGTATATATAAAATATATATATATTTTCGATCAAGAATCTTGAAGTTAGATGCAACTTACATATCAATAGTGAGAGGATCGATCAACAGTTAGCTAGTGACAGAATTGTTTGGGCAAAATACGAGTTTTTGCGATGAGAATGGTCTGTAATTTCGTTGCCAGTTTTAATTAATTAGATGATGATATACTTTTTATGTATAGAAATTATTCGACGCAGATAATTAATTAAGAAATTAATTAATCATACTCTTTTTTTTTTAATTTAATTACAATCTTGAATTTGATTTCTTGTTTCAATTAATTCGATATGATCTTGATCTCAAAAAGGGAATGATTTTAATGAGCTTTTCTGGGTTCATCTCTTTTTGGTCTTCCATCACTGTATAAACCCTAATTGGTAAAGATGATGATCATCTTTTTATTTTGTGGCTGCTTAATCTTGTACATTATGCACCCATTGATGTAACATCTCTCTCTCTCTCTCTCTCTCTCTCTCTCTATATATATATATATATCTCTCTCTCTCTCTCTCTCTATATATATATATATATATATGTTGATGGTAACATATACCTTTCAGATTCAAGAAATCATCATTACCATATATGAATGCAACTCAAAATTAATTCTTTTCTTCGGTCTTTAATTTAATTACCATTAATTGGTTTAATTATTTTATTTGTTAGAATTTGAAAACCCTTCATCTATTTATGATCACATCATTTCTTGTTGAATTTATATAGATTGAAATTTCAAAATATAAACACTGATGTTTGGGATTGCTTATAGAAATAATTTATTGACTTATTTCGGTGTGACATAGGTAATAAGCACTTTTGAATGTTTGGATAAACAACTTATACTAGTGTTGAACCGATAATAAGGAGTTTTTGAAGAAGTTAGACCCTTTTGATCACTTATAATAAATTGATAAGTGTTTTTATAGAAAAACATAAGTTGTTTAAAATAAAGCAATCTCAAACATCCCCTGAGCATTATTTTGAGTACCAAAAATCAAAACCGCAAAATTCGGGTTTACTTTTAATACCAATAAGCATCGCTCTATATTAGTGTATGTCTTTATAATACATTTTCGTAATGTGACTTCTCTTGTTACCGATTATAAAACAAAATACGTTCTATTTTAGCGATTGTTAATTATCAAGAACAAAAATCAATAAGTGTGACGACAATTCACCGTCATCAACCGTTACATTAATTTACATCCATATATCTCTCAAAATTCATATAATTCGAACAACGAGTCGATAAAATTACAGTTGTAACCACCCTTTGACGAGTAAATTATAATGAAATTGAAGGTGATTTCTGTAAGAAGAAATGGAAAGTCGAAAGGGCATGAAAAATGCATACGTTGTAGTCGATCGCTTTCGATTCCTATAGAAATAAAAAAAAAGCAATTAAAAAAGGGAAAATAGTTAATAATTTAATGAAAAAGAAAAAAAAGAAATTACTCAAAGTATGTCATGTTATCTTTTACACCAACCTTTCACAAATTTGATCATTAATTATTTCATATATTATCTCTAACTTAATCTCTAATAAACTAATCCTTCATTATCACATTGATTAGTAAAATTAATGTTATCTTGGACCAAAAGAAACTTTAAATATGTCAACTATTTGAAAACTATATTAAGTTTGCATTTTTCTTTAATAAAAGTATAAATCTTGATCGAATGAGCACACACCAGATATTTTATCGTAACTATGTGTTACAGGTCAGCTTACATGTATCGACTAATCCCCTGACCTTAGCAAATGAACCCCATATGCCAGAAAGACCTTAGTAGCATCTTAATTTGAATCCAGGTAATACAAGAATATCTGTTACCTTCATCCAGAGTCTTGATCAGTATATCACAACTCAAGTGATTGCATACAATCTTTTAATTCATTATGCTTATTATTGAAACTTATATATAGGTTCTCTTTTCGTATTTTTACTACAAAAAAGGACGATTTTTTTTTATTAACCTGGATATTCAACCCGCTATGCGAGCCGACTAATCCCAGGACGATCACCTGCTTTGTAGATAGCCCGGAGTCACCGCATTTGAACCTCCATGGCCACAAGGGGATTTTTATTCCTCCTTGGATTTGATCCTGAGATCTCCATGTACGTTTAACCTTTGGAGTCAAACTCAAACCAATCATGCACCACCCTTATGGTTAAAAATGACGATTTGTTTTTACAAAAACTTGATACATAAAATGTTGTGTTCATTTTATTAATTGATAGATTTATTATGCGATTTTTGTGTAACAAAAAAAAAATTACAAAATTAAAACACTAAAATCCAAATTAAACAATACCCATGAATTATTATAATTATAATTATTGGAGAACTCTAAAATTTATGATATTCGTGAGAATTTCTATCTTAAAGTTTGTTTCACACGATTTTTTCATATAATGTATTGATTAATATATATTTGTTTCAGGATGTGAAACTTTTTCATGTGTATTTTTTTTTCATAAACAAACCAAAAAAGTTTACATTGTGAACCGAGTACATGCAAAACAAACACATTGTAAAACAAGTATATGTGAATCATATGTATAATTTTGTAATCCACTCATTTAATTATTAATTAATTTATAGTTTTTATTTTTCATAAAAACTTAGTGGGTCCATCATCATAAGGAATCATTATCTTAAAACCACATAAATTAAATCACACTAATTGCATGTTTTTCCTTAGTAAGTAAAGATGACAAATCAACTTTAATATATTTTGTATCATTTGTGGCTTTTTTTGGTATAATTTTGATATGGACTTTGATTTTTTTTATCTTTAATGGAGGAATTTAAGCTCCTTTACCAACAATACCACAAGAAACCATCTACTACCCCATAAAATACATCTATAAATAATTACATTTCATTTGTAAATATAATACGTACACGTATGTGATTAACATACGTGTACGTATAAAAACGTGTTAGAAAGTAAATGAATACGTAGAAATCTGAACTAATAACATATTTGGATTTGTTACAGTCGCACTTCGTGTCGTTTGCAGAATAACTGGTGTTTTAAATTAATTAGAAGTGGGGTTTGTTTAATTGCGTGACGGATGTTGATATCTTTAATCACTATGACAGAATCGGATCTATGAAATGTCAAATATGTTTAAATGTCCTGATATAGTGTTTTATAAGTATGGAGTTTATATGACCAAAAAAGGTTGTGCAGTCTAGGTTAAAGAGTTACACTTTGCAATGAGTTAACAGAACACTTTTAATTTACGGGGTTTAACAAGTTTTTTAGAACGATTTAGAAATAGAACGTGTTGTTAGTTTTTTATTAGACACTTTATGGTAGATGTTCTATAAACGAATATTTTTATATGATACATTTTCAAATAATATCACAGGAAAAAGAAAATCAAAAAGATGGTTTATTTTAAAAATGTCCTAAAAACTTATTGTAACATATTTACATGACACAAACAAAGGTTTTGTATGAGATTAAGTTCTATAAAACAGTCTATTACAAATATATATATATATATATATAGGGATGTTATTCTACACCCTATATATACCCTATATATATATATATATATATATATATGTATTTGTAAGGTTGGATTCCAGTGAGAAGCGAAACTATGTTGAGAAGCGTAAGAAGAGATCTCCACATTTGGATCAATCATAATTGAATATCAACACTAATAAGGTGCACCAAGATGCACAGGGGTGGTGCCTGATTGGTTTGAGCTTGGCTCCAAAGGTCAAAAGTACCTGAAGGTTCCATGTTTAAATTTAAGGAGGAATAAAAATCCCCTTATGGCCACGGAGGTTCAAATGCGGTGACTCCGAGCTATCTGCAAAGCAGGTGGTTGCCTTAAAATTAGTCAGCTCGCATAGTGGGTTGGATATCCAGGTTAATCAAAAAAAAAATCATAGGTAACCATTAATGGTAAACAAATGAGAACCGTATAAAGGTTGAGTACCATGGGGACTAATCTCAATCATTAAACAGTTTTTAATCAAAGATTATTAAACATGGTGGCATTTTTGTAATATTAGTAAAATTTGTGTCTAATCTCACATCTAATTTAAAAATATAAGGGCATATTAGGGTTTTCGTTACATCTCACCTTCTTTTGACTTTTTGAATTAATCCCTTTAGTCTTTCTCCATGGCTAATCAATAGATCTTCTCACCTTCTTATCCAAACCAAAAACTGAAGAAGACGCCCGCATGCTATCTTTCCACCTCCACCGGCCCGTCGTCGACACAATATTCCTATCGAATGCTCGTGTCGCCTTCTGTAGCGATCGACCTCTGCGTTTCACCGCACCTTCCGGTGAAAAGACCTGGTGCTAATACAAGGTAATTAACAAATACTTGTGTTTTGGAAAGTTTTCGTTATCAATAGCGATTTGGTCGAGATGGAAGGTTTCAACGATGGATTTTGATGGAGGAGTTCTCGTATTGCTTAAATGTTTAGAGTCGTTTTTAAGGTCCTATTCGCAACCATAAGTTAGGTTACGTTTTAAGTTTACTCAAAAAGACTCTTTGGATTAGTCATAGATCGTTTTTCTAACAGCTACTTCAAATAGTATTTTAATAACCTTTATGGGATTTCCGGCTTTTTCCCGTTATACCCTTTACATTTTTTCAATCATTTAACTTATCAACTATTTTTTACCAAACGTAACTTTAACAATGATAAAATTGGATGAAGACTTTGATACAGACCAACAAGATTTTGACCTATCAAATGGTCCCCATAATTTTCATAATAAAAAACGGGATTTTCTATTTTTCATGACAGATCCCGATTATTGTTTTTATATAGACCAAGATATACGCGAACATATATATTGAAGTCGAGTTAGTGGGACTTTCAAGTGCAAAGATCAAGTGGCACTTCCGTCACTTGACTAATTTATAGATTTGGTCCATGTATTTGTGGATCATGTTCATAAACTTCTTTTTTTACAATTTGACCCCTCTGTAAGTTGAAAATTAAATCATTTAAAATAAAACAAGTTGAAGAATTTAATCATTTAAAATAAAAAAGTTTAATATCTTTTTTATTTAAAAATTTAGTTTGAAAATTAAACCATTTAATTTATTGATTTTTTTTAACTTTTTCCTAAATTAAATACTAATAATAATCCATTCAAAAATAAAGTCTTGGTGGTTGAAAGTTGAAGTCAAAGTCAAATGTTCAAGTGTGAAAGGAAACCCACCAAAAACAAGACTTGGTCAACCAGAAGATGCCTCCCCCTTCACGTTAAAAAGTCTCTTGATTCAATCCACAGTTTTCATCGTCTCCTTCGATCAAACCTAAACAAATATACCTTTCTTCTTCAATTAATCAACGATATGATCATCAAGAAAGCACCCACCACCGCCGCCACCCTGCAGCACCCTTCGCCGGCAAAAGGGTCGTCGTCACTTTCCGTCAAAAAGTATCAAGATTTGCTCAAGGATTCCGCCGCCTCACCCAGGATGATCTTGCAGCCAAGGAGGAAGAACAGCCGTCGTGAGATGGTGGTTCCAAGGCGGCAGCGTGGCAGCAAAGAGATGGTGAGGAGGGCGTTGACTCCACCTGCTCGTAAATTGACCTGGCGGTGGTTTGATTTCCGGCCGACACCTAGCCGCCTGGCTGTTATGTCCATGGCTATTTAGATGTTGGTTTGTAATCGTTCATCGTTTCGATCGAATTCAATCGGTAAATATGTCTGTTATTCGTTTCCGATCACTGTTACTCTTGTGATTACGTCCGATACACCAAAATCGGCTTTATAGGACGTCAAAATTGTCTGAGGGATTGTTCGGTTGGTTTTTATTGGGCATGTTTGTTGGCAACTTAACGAGCTTAATGGGACTTAGAGCTTATTCGTTCAGCTGTGCACGACTCTTTGGTAGTAGTTTAATGATACAGGAAGTTGCTTATAAAAGGGGTTTTATGTAAAAAGCCAAGTTTTTTTCAAACCACACCTCGTAGTTAAAAAACACGCTTCTTCCACCTAAAAAAAACTCTCCCAAATAAAGTTATGTGCGTATTCATCTGTGTATCGATTGGGAAGATTTTTGTTTGAGAAAAGTTTTTCATAGATAGAAACAGATGTTTTTTAATTGGGAGAAATATATTTGGAAAAAAAAAATTTAACTTTCTGCATAAAACTCTCCCTAGAAGCTTATTGAATAAGCCACTTTTTTATATAATTAAGCCATTACCAACCAATCATGTACAGCTGGCCGAATATTTGCGAGTCTAATTAAGCTGCTGACAAACAAACCTTAAATGTCCTAATAAACTGTTTTATAAGACTTGAGTTATAGAACCAAATAACAACACTATTTCCTACATAAATGTGTTACAACAAGTTAAACGGATGTATCCTTTTGGACCAATTTTTGAAACAAAGCGTGCTATCGGTGGTCATGTAGAAAAAATGTCTTATGTAAACGTGTCATAAGACACTTCTCAAACGTGCCTTGTTATAAGCTAGTAATATTATGACATTAGGACATTTTTAGCATCTTATAAAGCCGATTTTGTTGTCGTGATATAACTACACGAAACTGCTAAAACTGTAAAGCTTTAATAAGAGCGTTTTCACGAGGCTCGAATACCGTCACTAAATATATATCAAGTTAAATTCTATGTCAAAATGGAAGAACAAGAGTGGGATGTACAACATATTTAGCAGAGAAAAATCTGCTGATTAGGGGTATAATACAAGCGTCATATACGTAGAACTGACACAATGGCCTTTCGACTAGCGGCATTACCTTCATTGCAGCATTTTTCGACCATCGCCGCTATGCCAAATGGAGATTTCAGTGACGAAAAATGGAGAAAACTGCTCGGCTTCTTTTGGTTGATTCTTCGTTTTTGTGGGTATTTACTCCTGATAATAGAAAAGATAGAAAAAATCGTTTAATGAGAATCGGCATTTGCGTGAAGCAATCACAAAGCAATCTGTAGCATACCTCTGAAGGGTCAAAAGATGAACTTGAATTCGGGTCGACTGGTGCATCGGAAATCCTTGCTTCTGATTTCTCATTCGATAAACTGTCAAAAAATGAGCGAATAGGTCTTGTGAGAATATGTGGAACCCAAATAGATTGCTCTTCAAAAGAGCCCTTGAGTTGGAAAAGAAAGCTTCAACATGTATTGAAAAGAAATGGTCCAAGTCGCCGATATGGGACTCCAACAGATTTTCCCAATGGCTCTGATACCATGTGAAATATATGGAACCCCATTATATTCCTCAAAAAGAGCCCTTAATAGAAAAAGAAAGTTTGAACGTATACTGAAAGAAATAGTCAAATCTAACTGATGTGGGATGCCAACACGCCTCCCCCCTCCCCCCCAAAAAGAGGCTAGATGGTCCCACGCTATTGTCATAGAGTATCAAGAGGGGGTCGACGGACAAAGATTGCCCCTAAGTGTCGAATCATTAGAGTGATAGACTTTGCCTCTGATACCATGTAACAATATATGAAACTCATTAGATTACTCTCCAAAAGAGCCCTTCAGTAGTAAAAATAGCTTCCAACATGTATTAAGAAGAAAAAGGGGTCCAAGTCTAGCTGATGTTGGGCTCTAACAGGTCTCGATGGACAAATTGAACTGAAACAATAATCCCGGTGATTAACACAAGATACTTACGTTGAGAGTATTGTAACCCAAATGAGCTCTATGCAATCGACCCACAAGAGTCTTTGTTCAACGGGTACGACACCATACGTAATGATGTGTGCAAATGGCCAAAGCTTCCAACCGGCCTGATAACAAGTTGAAACAAACTTAAGCATTTTTTATACTACGATCATATTTATATAAACGTACAAGAGAAATACGGTGTACTTACTGTCAACATGGGCCAAAATGTCGTCTTTAATTCACTAAAAATAGTAAATGGCGACTCGAATCGTAGAAGTCCGACAACCACGTAGTAAATACTGTTCCATACGGCTGCCCATGCGGTTTGATCAAACGCTACCTTAACGGGAACCACCCACCAGTCTTGAAAGGGGAAAAGTTCCTGAGGAAAAAGGAGAATGTTATTGTCTATTAACTACAATAAAATCGGTTTTATAGGACCTCAAATATGGAGAAGGGACTGTTTATTGGCAGTTTAATGAGCTTAAGATTCACAACTTATTCGGTCAGCTATACATGACTGTTTGGTAGTGGCTTAATGATATAGAAAGTGACTTATTTAATAAGCATCTATGGTATAGTTTTACACAGAAAGCCAAAAAAAATTCCAAACAGGCCCCTCCCAATTAAAAAACACGTTGCTTCCATCTATGAAAAACTCTCCTAAACAAAAATCTTCCCGCTCTATGCAGACAGAATAATCCCCCAACTTTATCCATGCAGGACTTGATGGAAAACCAACCAAACAACGACTAGATGTAGTATATGACCAAACAATTGTGCACCTTATGTGAAAGTGTTGCAATAAGTTGATAGGATGCTTTTAAGGATCGTAAACACGTTTTTTAGGACAAGATTGAAATAAGAGTTTTCATATGGCATTATTTGAAAAAATGTACTATAAAAAAGATGTATTCGTAGGACACTTCTAAAAAGTGTAATAAAAAAGCTAATAGAACACTTTATTTCAATTATCAAAAACGTCTTAAAAAAACTTGTTAGGATGCCCAAATGCATCCTAACATCCTATTATGACACCTTTATATGATATGCACAATTGTTTGTTCATATAAACTTTAGGGTATGTTTATTAGCAACTTAATGAGCTTCATAGGACTCAGAGCTTATTCAGTCAGCTATATATATGACCGTTTGGTAGTGGCTTAATGATATAAAAAATGGCTTATTCAGCAAGCTTCTAGGGGGGAGCTTTATGCAGAAAGCCAAGATTTTTTCAGACTTGCCTATCCCAATTAAAAAACATGTTCCTTCCATCTATGAGAAAAACACTCCAAACAAAAATCTTCCTAATATATACACACGGATTAATCCACACATTAATTCACACAAACAATTTTACTCATATACTACTTCATAGAAATCCAACCAAACAACCCAAAGTACTATAAAGCAGTCTATAATAACATTTAGACATTTTTGGCGTCCTATAAAACCGACTTTGTTGTAGTATTCTAGGGGTGGTAGGATGTATACAAAATTGTCCTCTGTTTCGTGAAAGACACTTGGCTTGTGCAAAAGTATGAGCGGAATTTACAAAAAAGAAAAATACGAGCCAGATTGCAGCAGTTACCTCACAGAAATAGTAGTAGTAGTGAGAAAGTGATCCGTGCAACATGAAGCCAACGAGGCCAGATCTAAACATGCGAGTGCGATCAAATTCTAAGAGCGGTTTTCCTTCACAGCACTGCATATTCAATGATTAAACCGTTAATTTTGGAAGTTGATTATCGATTGTCAATGAAAACACAAGACTTTAAAGAAACCAATGAACCTGTGCAATCCAATCCCCTACAGAATAGACAACTCCGCTTATCATCATCTTTGCCAAGAGCGGATTTTCTTTAAGAGCTTCTTCGTACGCGCTCCAGTTGTGTTGCGGTGCATATCTCAGTATTTCATATATGGTCCATCCCTATTAGGAAAAACAATAAACTTATTAGAACTCTATGACTCAAAGGGAAAATCTTGATCAAAGACGTATAACGATGATTTTGAACATCTATCTACCGAAACCCTGTTCTGAAATCTTGATTATGAACCGTTGCTTTCAGGGTCTCTAATAAAGGGTCTGAAAACTGAATTGGGACTATAAATTTAAGGATGGAGTCCCACATTGGCTAGATATGGACCATTCTTTTCAATATATGTTGGAACCTCTCTTCTACTGAACGGCTCTTTTGGGATGTAATTTGATGGGGTTCAGTTTTCTACCACATTTGTGTCCGTGTGGCCTCCAGTTGGAGGGAGCGTCTTGGAGTATCACGTCGGCTAAACTTGGATCAATTCTATATATATAGGGTCAGGTTCAGGGAAAACCGCAAAAAAATGAAAAACTGAAGAACACCTTGGATATCGTTCATCCAGAGACGGTATGCACATGTGCATACAAGTAATTTGTAAGCAATTTATACGTTGTGCACATGTGCATAAAAACCAAGAAACAACTTCAATTATTTGTATGCACATCTAGATGAATGGTTACCAAGGTGTGCCTCAGTTTTCAAATTTTTGGGGGTTTTCCCCGAACCTCCTTTTCTCTCTATGTGTGTGTGTGTGTGTGTCAGAACCTCCTCTCCCCAATGGTTCAATTGAAGCGTAATCTGATGGGGTTTCATATATATTCTTACAATATTCTACGCTTTTTGCATCAATGGTCTCCAGTGAAGGGTTCTAAACCATTAAGAAAACAATCCCACTTCAGGTCAAGCTATACAAGTTAAAGAAACAAAAACAAATCAATAAAGACCAAGAACCAAGAAATCTGCAATAAAATTCCAGAATTTTTAGCTGGAAAGAAACAAGAAAATTATATTTTCTGCAAGTTCAATTAAACCCTAAAAGAAAGATGCAAACTTGCTAAAGATTATGCAAGTTCAAATAGAGTAAAGGTCTATTTGTTTGCAACTTAATAAGCTTAACAAGACTCGCAACTTATTCAGTCAGCTATAAATCATTGTTTGGTAGTGGCTCAATGATATAGAAAGTGTCTTACTCACTAAGCTTCTAGGGGAAGTCTTATAAAGAAAGCCAAGTTTTTTTCCAAACTTGCGTTTGTTTGTTTGCAGCTTAACGATCAGCCATACATCATAGTTTGGTAGTGGCTCAATGATATCGAAAGTGGTGTATTCACTAAGCTTCTAGGGGGAGCTTTATGCAGAACACCAAGTTTTTTTTTTCAAACTTGTGTTTGTTTCTTTGCAGCTTAACAAGCTTAACGAGACTCGTAACTTATTCGGTTAGCTGTACATCATAGTTGGTAGTGGCTCAATGATATTAAAAGTGGCTTACTCACTAAGCAGCCAAGTTTTTTCCAAACTTGCGATTGTTTGTTTGCAGCTTAACGAGCCTTGCAACTTATTCAGTCAACTATACATCATTATTTGGTAGTGGCTCAATGATATAGAAAGTGACTTATTCACTAAGCTTCCAAGGGCTTTATGCAGAATGCCAAACTCCTATTTACGAAGACAACCCTCCTGAACAGACAAGACAGCTTTATCCATTAAGAACTAACGGAAAACCAATCACACAGCCCCTAACATATCATGATATCCCCAAATTAGAAAGATTTGAAAGTAGTAGAATTAATGGTAGATTGATGAACTTACATGCCAATAATCATAATCAATGGTGAGCAGTTTGGTGATACCAAAAGTACCAGCAGCAAGAACAATGGTGGCATTAATAGCTCTATCGATCAATTTATCAAAATCATCACCCTCAACCACCTGATTTCCATTACCAACACCACCACCGGAAGAACCCGCCGTCGTCGCCGACGAAAACCCACCTTCAAAAGACAATCTTCCTTCACTACCACCAAACCCGCTAATCAACTGAACCTCTTTTCCTCCTTCAACCTCCCTCTCAATTTCACCCACCACACCACCGCCTTGGTGATCGGAAAAATCGATGCTCTGTACGTGTATCACATCTTGCTCCTTCCCTACCGCCTTGATTGCTACGGCTGCCGGCTTAATTTTCGTCAAGAATTTAGGTGTTTGTGAAGTGGGTACGAAGGATTTGAAATCTTTGGTAGGTTTATGGAGTGGGAGGAAGGCGGCGGTACTAATGGAAGCAGCGGCGGCGGCCATTAGTGTTTCCGTCGTGGGGGAAGCGAAATGATTCGTATTTTATCCGCCGGAAAATTAATCGGACTGCTTTCTCCGATTCAATCTAGGGGGGAGGTTGTTGGGTTTTATAGCACAGTAGTTACGTGGGTGATCTTGTGTATTCGAGACACGGGGTTTTGTGTACGGACGTGGCAATTTTTTGACTTTTTTTGTAGAAATGTGGAAGATTGGGATCTGATTGGTTGGATGATGATGGTCCATTGGAGTATGATGGGGGGATGCACAGCGTGTTGTGTTTATCGTATGAAATGTACACCGCTTAGTTTTCGATCACTGATTGGTCCACGTAGACAGGATGAGTCTTCATTATTTGTTTCATTTTGTTCAAAAAAAAAATAAGTAATTTATTTTTTTGATTAACCTGAACAACTAGCTATATGTGCTGATTAATTCCAAAACGACCATTTGCTTTGCAGATAGCCTGGAGTCATCGTATTTGAACCTCCGTGGCCACAAGAGAATTTGAACCTAAGACCTCCTAGTACTTTTAACCTTTGGAGCCAAGCTCAAACTAATCAGGCACCACTCTTGTGATTAGTAATTATATTTTTATTCATTAATATTTCGAGAAAAAGTTGATTACCGACAATCTCATAATTCTATATGAAACTCGTTTTCAAAGATACCAATGTGAAGGGTATTTCTTAGTTCACTCAGTGATTGAGCCTAACGAGGGGTTTGGGATTGAATTTACGTCACGTCTTGTATTTGGGCAACACGACAACAAAATTAGGTTTATATGACGTCAAATTTTCTAAACGTCCTAAAAAGACTGTTTTATAAGACATGATTAACAGTACCAAGAAATAAAACATCATATTTAAAGTTGTTGTAATAGTTTTTGTGTTACAAGTTCAAAGTTATGCGTTCGGTAATATATTACTACATGTTTACAGGAGTCTTTACCATAACACAAGGAACCAAAAAATACAGTCGGCCCAAAAAAACTGTTCACTTTTATCGACTGCGTTCCTTGCGAAAGTATCATAGCTGTCTTTTAAAATTTGCGAATTCATATGAAATGAACATTCTACATAAATAATTGTGGATTGACATGACCAGATATATCGACACGATAACACGCATATTTAGGTTTTGTTGGGGCCCACAATATGTGATTGTAAACTCAAAACTAATAAATATAAATACAGCCAAAAAATATCTCCATAAATATTTTTGTGGTATAAAAGTGGTTGACCACAAATTGGAGAATATTATATATGGTTGTGAAAATTGTGTAGAATTTATGGTACGGCAAATCAATTATATGCAAGAGGATTGGGCTACCCATGTTGCAACTTGTCTCCACCATGTTAAATAGCCATAAATAGTCAGGTAACTGGTTGAAACATTAACTGGTTATCATGTTGATGTGACGAGTAAAGTGGTATCCAACTCAATATTATTTGTTATTCAACCCAATTTCATCTCATCACTCGCCACATCTGCACGGTAACCGGTTGATGTTTCAACCGGTTACCCGGGGTACTTAAATGTTTAAAAACTTTACATCTTAGATACCAAAATAGAAGTTATGAAAGTATGTTACCCATAATGTAAATCAAGTTAAGGTACGTTACTTTTTCATGTAATTTGCCCCCAAAATTAGGTTATCAAGTCTTTTTTTGAATGTTTTGAGTTTTCTTTTAAAAACTTAATAATTTGTGAAATCTGTATCATCTGATTTAAACCATGAAAGATTAGTTAAAAAAATAAAATCTAATTTATTTTAGAATTTTCTTTCTCCTCTCTCCCCTCTTCTTTCTTTTTCTTCTCTTCATAGCATAGATATGCGCACACACAGTTAAATATGCACACAAGATAACACACAGTGTGGATATTCTTTTAATTCTGACAGTGTGTGATAGTGTATTACATGAGAGAGAAAAGGATAGGAGAGGCCGTGGCAGATCCAAGAATTTTATAAACTGGGCTCCCATGGAAAATTCTAATGGGGGAGGTGAATTCTGTAAAAAATAAATTTTAACCTAGGTAATTTTTTTAACTTTTTGACTGTGATCCTTTACTGTTTATAGACTGGGCTCCCATATAAAATTCTTTACTGTTTTAATAACTCTCCGAAAAAGTTACTGACGTTGCATTCAACAGCTATGTTCGCAATAAAATGGAACCAATCGTGACTGTTACAGAAGACATAAATCCTAGAGTGTTCTTATAATAATGGCTGACATATAAATGAACTTTTAAGAAAGTATCTCTGATAAAATACAAATGCTTTGTCGATGGAACTGAATACGACAACATTAGTATCAGTACTTGAAGTATAGTTTACATAACTTTTGAAGAATTACGGGAATAAAGTTTTTACAAAAACATACATCCTAAAAATGACGATGAATACGACAACAATGGTCTGTTTGGCTAATGCTGACGAATGAGAATGAAAACGACAGAGAATGAATATAGGAATGATTTTCAATCCCCTCATTTTATCTAGTAATGAAATTTTGGGCTTATAGAGGAATGAACTTATTATATTATAAAAAAACCAAACAATTTTTTTTTTCTATTCATATTAATTACTGTTTAATACCTCTAACCAAACACCCCTTTATTTTTCTCTGATCCAGACATATTTTTTTTATGAAAATAATAACATTTCCAAGAGATTATCTAAAATATTAGAAATTTATTGCTATTTTAATCTTCATGGGCCTTGAAGTTTAGCCCAAAACGAAGATCCATAACTCCAAACGTTGAGATGGTCTAAATGGGGTCGGTCCAACTTAGGAATGGTTTAGGACCGGTTATGATTGAATCAATAGTTTGGAAACGATTATAATGTTTACGAAAATCCGAGACCCCACCCGGCCCCAAAACGGTTTCGGGATCGGAATCAATTATATAGCCCCAATTTTTTTTTTAAATTTAAGTTTTTTTATGAATCATAATTTAACGTTTTTCAAGATTTCTACAAGATATTGTGCAAAAAATCTTTAATCAAAACTTTTTATATGTTCAAATTTGAAGAAAAAATTTTTGGACCTGGGGATCGGTCCTAAATCGGGCTTTATACAAAAAAAACAGGCCCAAGTGTTTTCGGTCGATATTGAAACCAAATTTTGACCATCTTCATCCATAACGTAAGTACTTATTTTCGGGCTTTGGCCCATAGCCAACAAACTTTGCGAACGACATTATTGGGCCGCAAAAAGTAAATCGAATAACTACGTTTTTTGTTTATGTGGTTTGTTAAAAATTGTAACTTTAGTCCTATTTTTAAAATTACGGTTTAGTTTATGTGGTTAGTAATTTAGAGTTTTTTTTGTCCTGAGGTTGACTCCGTCATTAATATACCGTTAAGGGTGAGGGGAAAAAACAATTAATTGTAAACCATAAAGACTAAAATAGCTTTGAACTGTAAACTGCAAAGACAAAAATCGTAATGTATACTATATTATAAAACATTTGACAAAAACTCTTAAAACCTAATTTTTATGCATGAAATATTGTTTATTGATGCATATTACTTAAAATTCAAGATTACAAGTAATTTTGCATAAGTATAACTTATTAAAACTCCATTTTTAAATTTATGAAACTAATTGCAGATAAATATAATTAAATACAGAACAAAAATCGATTTTAAACATAGAAAATCTAAAATATAATTAAGATAGTCATTGAGTTATAACAGAATGTTTAATTATTATCTTTATAAAAATTTATATTACTAAATCAAAAATAAATTACTTTTTTATTGTATTTAAATTAAATTATAATAAAAAATTGAATTAAAAAAATTACACAAAAAAAAGGAAAAATGTTTAATAGTTAATTTGATACTAATATTTCATTCAAAAATAAAAATATTATCACTTTCTAAAAGAAACACATAAAATCGTATTATATTGATGGAGACAAAGAATAAAAATTAAATATTAAAATAAAGATTTATCTTGGTGCATTGCGCAAGTACCCAGTTTTAAAAATATAGGGACTAATATAGCAGTTTTGAATCAACCATAGGGACTAAAAACGTAATTTACTAAGAGAAAAAGAAAAGCGAAGGTCCTACCGAGATTTGAACTCGGGTTACTGGATTCAGAGTCCAATGTCCTAACCACTAGACCATAGGACCACTTGTTCTACTTAATCATCATCTATTCTTAAATATACTCCCAAACACTTGGTATCAAAATATATATTTTATATCTATTTATTTTTTAGGATGCGTTTGATACATAAAAACTTGTGGGAATTTTTGGCAATGCAAAGACTTGGTCATAGTACCGAAAACTCCACAAAAATACGAGATTGTTTAACAAAAGACAATTTTACCCTTTTCTATTAACTATTAGCTTCAATTTTGTTTGTGTTAGAAAATGGCGCACGATGATGCCATCCACTACTGTCGTAGTTTCTTCATCTAACCATTCTCTTTCGACGGGTCTATGTTGCTCACCTTCTTCTCTCCTTGCTTCAAAAAATCTCTCGTTAGAAATCTCAGTTACGGCCTAAACCAGTTTTCCATGCTCAAAACCCTTGTCCTCCAACCGCAACTCCCTCATTGACCTTTACCCACTTTGGCAATCCAAGCCTTCATTGAACAGGTGTTTTTAGACAATAACTTCAACCTTATCCAGTTGAATTTCTTTATATATTACAGGAATCAAAAGCATCCTTATAGCTACAAGCCGTATATCAAAAGCATCCTTAAACTTCCCAGTCGCTGGCAGAAAGACAGAAAACATTATGTGCAGATTTGTGACAACTCAACCAAATACAGTTAAAACTAGCCAAAGAAAGACTAATATTTGAGTTTAGAATCAATAATATCCAATGTGATATTAGTTTATAAGTCATTAAATTTATAAGTTTATTATAAATAAAATACTGTATAAGAAATAAAATATAAAACCAGTTGTTTTAAGAGAAGTTTGATGAAAAACAAAGCAAGAGTATGTGAAGAAGCTATAATCTATTATCTAACATGCTTCAATCATGAACATGTGGCCACAATAAACAAACCAACATAACCTATGCTTCTAGATGAATTTTGTCTCATTTCATTAAGCATAATCATCATTCAATATTTTTGTTACTTTTTCACAAAATAACAGTGTTTTGATATGTAGGAAAATACCTGTATAAATTAAAATAAAAATAATATACAACATATCGAATGTTCAAAACGTCTTCAACATGGTGGAGAAGAAATGGTCCATATCATATGATATTAGGCATGAGGATGAGACTCGCTCCATTCAGTATATCTTTCTGACGGGGCTAAGGATTTCTCCTAAAACTGGTGACGAGGGGTTGGGACGGGGTCAGGTAACGTGATATTTGCCATGTCCCTGTATATTAAATCTATTTTAATATTAAATATATTATTAAAAAAATAGATTTAATATCTTTTAGACTTAGAAAGAATATTTTGAACTTTTTTTTGGTATACATTTTCTTTTGCTTGTCTTTAGATAAAAAAAAAGTGTAGAGCCAAAAACATTTGATCAGATCAAATAATTACGTATTATGTTGTGATTTTTGTTAACATATAAATATCTAGTACAGTACACTGTAAAATCAAAAATTTAGAAATATATGAGATTGAAACATGTACTGTTATTGGACGAGTATAGTATTAACAAATCTGATTTAAAAATGAAAAGAATAATAACTCGGCATATGTTTGTGTTTTTATCAATTAAATATGTTTGCTTTTATATAAGTTGGTTGGATTCCAATTAAAATATTATTTTTAGACCAATCTTAATTAAAAAAACAACACTAATATAATATATTGAGATATATTAAATCAAAATTCTCGTAATAAGTATAATTCATATGATGGAAAAGTAAGCAACAGTTCAAAAAATTTCTTACTTTTTTCACTTTAACTTTTAGGGGACGTTTGGTTCGTAGAATAGAATTCGATGGAATTGGAATTCATCAAATTAATTTGACTTTGAAGGAATGAAATGAATTTGATCATGTCTTTTGATTGCGTTTTCGATGGATGGAATTGGAATGAAATTATTAACGGAATTGGAATTTTTTTTGTTTCGTTCACGGAATTCAACGAGAAAATTACATAGATGACATTTCGAGAAAATCCTTTTTAGGATGGAAAGAACGAGAGAGAGGTCAAACATGCCAGATCGAACAGTTTTGAATAGGGATGGCAAAAAAACCCGAAACCAATGGTGAAAACTGAAACTTTCAGGCGGTTCGGGGACATCTTATCGGGGACGGGGCAAGGATTGGGGACAAATTCAAGGATTTTAACGAGGACGGGGACAGTGATCATCGGCCGGGCCCGGCCTGGTCTGGCCTGATATGTGTAAATATATTAATTTTAATTTTATATATATATATATACACACACACACACACACACATATATGTATATATATATAATATCATTAAAAGAAAATAGTAACATTAAAATTTAAAAAAAATTATCCACTTTACTTCAACAACCCAAATAAGGCTCACGAAAAAGTCTAGTTTTGAAATCGTGATTTTTGTTGTATGATGTTTAGTTTTATATCGTAATGTAATACATTGTTTGTAATTGATTCGACTATGTTTGAGACATTTAAACTTGCATCTTTAAAAAATTGTAATTTACTTTTAGTTGTGAAAATTAACATATTTGTAATTTCTTTAGATCTGTTTCGGGTTTCGGTTATAACCAACGGTGAACGGGAAAAAGATGATTTTTACCTTAACCGGTTCCCCAACGGGGAAACCGTGGGGACCGGATGGGGATCTCCGACGGGGATCAGGACGGTCACTGAGACGGTTTTAGTTATCGGTTTCGGGAATGAAAATACCAATAACAGGCCCGAACCTGGCCCATTGTCGTTCCTAGTTTTAAATGAGATCGAGCATAGCAGAGCAGAACAAATTGAGATACAGCGTCGATTAATTTGCATGAGGGCTAATGAATTTGTTGGATTGAAATTTGAAATCCGTGGTATATGCGATGAAATTGTGAAATCCGTGACTTAAGGAATTTGTTAGAATTGAAAGGATTCCTTCACATCTATTCTATGAATCAAACATTGTATTTAGAATTTGATCAAAGATTTGGACATTCCAATTCCACCAAATTTCATGAACCAAACACCTTCTTATTCTTATACTAATTTTTGTTTATATCTTATAAAAATATTGTATATGATTATGTTTACAGTTCTTGCGAAGGTAATGTGAAATATATAAGAAATAAAAAGTTGACGATTTATAGACAGTTACATTTTAATGGATAATAAATATATAAAAAATCCATTTATCTCCAGTCTAATCTGACCTCACTGGGACCCACAACGTGCTGACTTGGCTTGCGAAATGATACGATGTGACTACAGACCATGAAGGCCGTCACCGGCTCAGACACACGGACGTCCTCCATCTTCAATTCTTGTAACCGCTGAACGTACTCCGGCACGTGAACCAGGTCCCATACGACCCCAACCCCACCCTCCTTCAAAACCCTAACAACTTCCCCCACCACTCTCATCCGCTCCGCCGCTGCCGCCGCCGTCTTCTGCCCGAATTCCTTCCCTACCGTGTGAACGAACCCCGCCGATACCACCACGTCGAAGTAATTGTCCGGGAACGGAAGCCTACGCGCGTCTCCCTCGCGGCAGGTGACGTACTCTTGCACTCCTTCCATACTGGCGGTTCGAAGAGTTGATAACGTCGTGTTCTTCCGATCTAACCCGACGACTCGCCCTGAGCTTCCTTCCTTTTTGAGCTGCATGGCGACGGTGTTGAGAAGGATGCCGCGGCCGCAGCCGACGTCAAGGGCGGTCTTGACGGTTGACCAGTCGTGGACGGCGCCTACCATGCGTTGCGCCATGTCCCAGCGAAGTGCTGCGGAGGAGTAGAAGATGTTGCCGGAAGCGTAGAAGAGGCATACGCCGGAGAGAGCCGTAACAGAGCCGGTGAAACCGGCCGCGAATCTAGCGAAACCGCTGGAAAAAACGGCTGGGAGAATTGCTTCAAAAGAGGAGCAGATCCAATCGAAGTATATGAGAAAGAGGACAGAGGATGCTGAGAAGAAGATCGCATGGATTAGGAGAAACACCGGTGTTTGCCAATCGTCCATGCCGTAGATTGCGTAGATCTGAGTCCAATCCCTTCCTGTTTTCCCCATTTTTTAGAAGATAAAATTTCAGCTTCGCAACTCGAATTCCGCTGACTCGATTTCAGATTCTGCAGTTTCAAATCAAAATATTTAGCAATATCGAAAACGAAATATCGATATTAAGAATTTAAGATCCAGTAGCAGAAGAAAAGAAATTGTTCAAAACGAAAATTAGATTGTTTGCCGCGAAAATCCACAGATTTTGAATCATCAAATGGTTCAAATTTCAAATCAATTTTACTTCTCTTTTTCCATCACTCCACTCAGTAACCAGATACGAACAACAGCAACTACACAATTTGACAAAAAGTTTAACCAATCAGAACATGAAATAGTGAGATTGAATGTGGCACTTACGCGTGAAGAACTGGAATCCACTATGTTGATCTCGACCGATAGTTCAGACTTCAGAGCAAGAGGATCATGACGTATGGTGACTTTTTGTTGGAAATGGCAAATTAAAATCAAAATCAATGCCCATACTCTGAAAGTCCTTCCGGTTGAGAGGATAACGACGAGGATTGTGGAAGAAAACGATGCAGATCTTTAACCAATTGGTACGCGTTTTCCTTTAGTTTTCGTCCTTTTGTTTTCTGTGTGCATTAACTTTTTGAAATCTTAAAGTGCGAATCAGATGAGAGAGAAAGAAAGAGAGAGAATGATTGAACAGAGGAAGCCGGTGCTCAAGGTCTTTATAGACAGATATTTGGTAAATTTTACAGAAATAGTCCCTCAATTTTCAAAAAAAATATCATTTGGTTCCCAACAAAATATTACCATTAAATGTTTTATTTTTAGCAAAAAGTTATTTTGAATCATTAATTCTGTAACATTTCAAATCAATCATATTAGATATTGTCCGTTTTATCGACACACTTGAACTCACGGTTCTTATAACGTCTCTATTAGAGAAGACTAGAAGAATACTCGCGTAATGCAGCGAGACACATCTCGATTTTATTGTTCTATTTTATTATTTGTCTCTGTCGATATTATAATACGATTTTATGTGTTTTTAAAAAAGCAATAATGATTTTATTTTTGAATAAAATATAAATTTGAAAAAAATATATATCAATGTTAATTTCAAATCAACTATTTAAAAGTTCTCATTTTTTTATGTAATTTATTTAATTTATTTTTTTATTATAATTTAATTTAAGTTTAATAGCGAAATAATTTATTTTTGGTTTAATATATAACATTTTATAAAGATAATAA